CTATAGTCTAGACTATAGTCTATAGTCTAGCCTATAGATCAGTCTATAGTCTAGACTATAGATACAGATCAGTCTATAGTCTAGACTATAGATACAGATCAGTCTATAGTCTAGACAATAGATACAGATCAGTCTATAGTCTAGACTATAGATACAGATCAGTCTATAGTCTAGACTATAGATCAGTCTATACTGTAGATCAGTCTACATTTTAGACTAAAGATCCGACTATAGTCTTGATTATAGATCAGTCTATAGTCTAAACTTTAGATTAGTCTAGACTATAGATCAGTATATAGTCATGACTATATAGTCTTTACGTTCGATCAATCATAGTCTAGACTGTAGATCAGTCTACATTTTAGACTAAAGATCAGTATATAGTCTATAGAACAGTCTATAGTCTAGACTATAGAATAGTCTATAGTCTAGACTATAGAACAGTCTATAGTCTAGACTATAGAACAGTCTATGGTCTAGACTATAGATCTGTCTATAGTCTAGACTATAGATCAGCCTATAATCCAGACTATAGTCATGACTATATAGTCTTTACAGTCTTTTATCATAACTACTGATCAGTCAATATTCATGACTATAGATCAATCTATAGTATTGATTATATATATATCAATATATATATAGTTCAGTTTTCAGTCTTGACAATAGAGTCTATAGGATAGACTATAGATTAGTCTATAGTAAAGACTATAGATCAGTCAGTTTAGACCATAGATCAGTCTATAGTCTAGACTATAAATTAGTCTAGAGTCTAGACTATAAATTAGTCTAAAGTCTAGATTTAAGATCAGTCTATAGTCTTAACTATTGATCAGTCTATAGTCTTGACTATATATCAGTCTATTGCCTTGACTATTGATCACTCTATAGTATAGAATATAGATCAGTATAAAGTTTTTACTATTGATCACTGTCTTGACTATTGCTCAGTCTACAATTATGACTATAGATCAGTCTATAGTCTAGACTATAAATCAGTATATAGTCTAGATTCTAGATCAGTCCATAGTCTTGACTATTGATCAGCGTATTGCCTTGACTATTGATCATTTTATAGTCTAGACTATAGATCAATCTATAGTCTTTACTATTCATCAGTCTACAATCATAACTATAAATCAGTATCTGTCTTGACAATAGATCAATCTATAGTCTTGACTATAGATCAGCTTACTGTCATGACAATAGTTATATCTATAAAATTGACTTTCTAATATTGTTTTTACTTTAATACATATTTAACCTTGATTAGAACAAAGTTTACGTTTTTTGTTGCAATTTTTCTATGTTCGAAAATTTTTCGAACTAAATTTCCATATTATGCAATTATTCACATTTAAGCTTAACTAGGTGAACATTTTACACTTTTTGCTGGTATTTTTGCAAGTTCGAAAACTTTCGAACTTATTATAATCGACTTTTTAATACTTTTTTGGGTATTTATCACTTTTAACATGAAATAAGATAAAATTTTATACATTTCAGGAAATTTTTTCATGTTCGAAAATTTTCGAACTTAATTTCGAAATTGTAAAAATTGACATTTTAATACTTTTTTGGATATTTATCACTTTTAATAGGAAATAACATAAAATTTTACACATTTCATGCAATTTTTCCATGTTCGAAAATTTTCGAACTTAATTTCGAAATTTATAAAAATTACTTTTTAGGCAGTTTTTGACTTTTGTTCATGCTTAAACCTTTTATTGATTTTGCTGTAATTTTTCCATGTTCGAAAATTTTCGAACTTAATTTCAAAATTTAAAAAATCGAGTTTTTAATAATTTTTTGGGCGTTTATCACTTTAAACAGGAAATAAGATACAATTTTATACATTTCAGGTAATTTTTTCATGTTCGAAAATTTTCGAACTTAATTTCGAAAATGCAAAAGTCGATTTTTTTTTTGTAAATTTTTTGTATTTTTGTACATTTAAGGTGAAAATTGGTAAAAAAAATTGTATTTTGAATTTTTCCAAAAATTTGGAGAATTTAAGAAAGTTTAGAAAAAAATTATGAAAAATTTTTCAGTGTCAGGAGAAATTTTTGAAAAATTTCTTTATGTTTAGAAATTTTAGGAAATTTATGAAGTTTTTGGTTAGAAATTATAAGTTTTCTAACTTTTGTTGTCCCTTTTTCTTTAAATTTTTTAAAACTAAAACTATTTTCTATTAAATATGTTACCAAATAAAAACCATAAACGTATTGTTTATTTTATTAATTTTTGTATTATTTTTTTAGTTTTTATGTTTTTTATACATATTTTAATAAAAAAAAATATTAAAAATAAAATACAAAATAACAAGATGAAAAAAGTAATGGATTTGGGTAGTTTAAGTTAAGTAGTAAATAAACAAAACAGTTTTAATAATATACCAAGTATTTATATATGTATATATAAAGTATGTATGTATATATGAATGTAGTATGTATGTTTAAATAAAAAACAAATACAACAAATAGGAAGTAAGTATATAGTTTATATATAAAAAAAAACAGAAAAGTAAGAGTTTATTATGTCATTGGGCTTTTTTTGTTTGTTTTTGTACAAATATTTTAATAATAATTCTTACTTAAAATTGTCATTTTTTAATAGTTTAACAGTTAGTTGCTACCCAAAATATGTATAACTATTTAATATTTTAGAAAAAAACTACTTGTGTATAAAAAAATTGTTATTCGATTTGAGAGACAAAAATGTTTCAGTTTTGAACTTTGCGTTGTTACAATTTCAAGGCAGATTAAGGTCTTAATAATTAGTTGTAGTTGTTTTTGTTTTTTATATATATTAAGTTATTTATCATAATAATAATAATGATAATAAATTGTGCAGTTTTCTATAAATTTCTGAGATTTTTTATCTTTTTTTTAAGTTTTTGTTTTAGTATCCAACAATCGCCAATAGGGCACGCTTGTAATCGCCAGAAGTATCGCCCTGCAAATAACGAAGGATTTGTTTTAATTAATTTCAATTTTAAAGGGAAATTTTTGCAAAGTTTTTTTTTAAATTTTTGTTTGTTTTTTTTTTTTTAAGAAATAGAGCACAAAATTAAAAAAAGGTTGTTCTCCTTTTAAAGTTTTAATAAATAACCGCACCGTTAGGAAGGAAGAAAATATTTAAATGTTTCTTAAACATTTTAAAAAGTTTTAAATCATTTCAAAAAAGCACATTAAAACAACATTGAAAAAAATTTTGTTAATGAAAAAAAAAAAAAAAAAATAATAAAAAAAGGGCTGAGACTAATAATTCAGAAAATATTTTGATAACATCTAGTTTTGTTCTTTTAAAATCTATTTTGACTCCTGTTTAGTCATAAAAATTTCACCTAATTAAGTTTAACTATGAATAAAAGCAAAAAACTACTTAAAAAGTAAATTTTTTAAATTTCGAAAATTTTAGAACTTGGAAAAATGGCCGCAAAAAGTAAGAAATGTTCAACTAATCAAGGTTAGTTGCTTATAAAACCAAAAATTGCTTAAAAAGTACATTTTTTAAATTTCGAATTTAAGTTCGAAAATTTTCGAACATGAAAAAATTTTATGAAATGTATAAAAATTTATCTTATTTCATGTCAAAAGTGATAAATACCCAAAAAAGTATTCAAAAGTCGTTTTTTTAAATTTCGAAATTAAGTTCGAAAATTTTCGAACTTGGAAAGATGGCCGCAAAAAGTAAACAATTTATACTTAGTCAAAGTTAAATGTTTAAAAAAGCAAAAACTTACATAAAAAGTAAATTTTTTCATTTTCGAAGTTAAGTTCGAATATTTTCAAACTTGAAAAAATTGCATGAAATGCATAAAATTTTATCTTATTTCATGTAAAAAGTGCTAACAAACCCAAAAAAGTATTTAAAAATCGATTTTTTTAATTTCGAAATTAAGTTCGAAAATTTTCGAACTTGGAAAAATGGCCGCAAAAAGTAAAAAATGTTCCATTAGTTAAGGTTAAATGTAAATAAATGCATAAAATGGCTAAAAAAATGTAAAATTATTTTGAAATTAAAATCAAAAATTTCGAACTTAATTTCGAAATTCAAAATTTTGATTTAAAATGAATTTCGAACTTAAAAGCATGTAATTCTTATTAATTTTATATGAAAAATTTTAATTTTTATCTTTTTTAAAACTATTTTTTTATGTTCGAAAAATTCGAATTAAATTTTGAAATTGCAAAAATGGCAAATTTTACCTATTTCTTATAAATTCCTACTTAAAATTATGTATTTTTAATAATTTTTAAATTTATTTAGAATTTTTAACATTTTTGGTATAAATTTTAGAAGTTCGAAAATTTCGAAATTGTAAAATATGCAAAATTTACATAATTTTAGTTCTAAAATCATTAAATTATTATTATTTTTATATGAATTAGTTATTTTCCCACTTTTTAAAACATTTTTCTATGTTCGAAAAATTCGAACTTAATTTCAAAAATGTTAAATTTACCCAATTTTATTAGTAAAAACACTTAATTTTTATTTGAAATTTTAAGCGGTTTTAGTTCCATTTTTCTATGTTCGAAAAATTCGAACTTAATTTCGAAATTGAAAAAAAAAAAATGGCAAATTTTCATTATTTCGAACATGAAATTATTAACTTATTTATATTTTTAAATAAATTAGAAGATTTTAGCCTATTTAAGGTCATTTTTCTATGTTCGAAAAATTCGAACTTAATTTCGAAATTGCAAAATATGCAAAATTTACAGAAATTTGTTCGTAAAATCATCAAATTATTATTACTTTCATATAAATTCGAAGTTTTAAACTGATTTATGATGTTTTTGTAATGTTCGAAAGATTCGAAGTTAATTTCGAAATTTCAAAATTAACAAATTTTTATAATTTTTAACATAAAATAATGAAAAGTTTATTAGTTTTACACAAATTAGAAGTTTTAAACAGATGTACGGTTTTTTGTATGTTCGAAAAATTCGAACTTAATTTCGAAATTTCGAAAAAGTGAATTTTTAGCTAATTTTTAGAATAACTTGAAATTTTTAGCATTTCTACAAGTTTTAGAGTAAATTTCATATGATATTTGAATTTTCGAAAAATTCGAACTTAATTTCGAAATTTCAAAATTCACAAATTTCTAAAATTTTTAATGTAAAATCATAAAATTGTTATTATTTTTATATGAATTCGAAGTTTTAAACTGATTTATTAAGTTTTTTGAATGTTCGAAAAATTCGAACTTAATTTCGAAATTTCCAAAAAGTTGATATTAGCTAAATTTTCAAATAAAATCGTTTTTTCAAGTATTTTTACAAGTTTTAGTATAAATTTCATATAATTTTTCTATGTTCGAAAAATTCGAACTTAATTTCGAAATTTCAAAAAAGTGAATATTTGACTGATTTTTAAAATTAATCAAAATATATAGCATTTGTACAAGTTATAGAGTAAGTTTCATCTGATTACTGAATGTTCGAAAAATTCATTCATCCTCAATAAAAAGCCCAACTACAGTTAAAATTTGTTAAAAAATTATTTTAAAAAAGACATGCAATTGATTTGTAACAGAAATTAAAGAAAGAAAAACATAAAACAGACCAAAAACAAAAAGACAGACAGACTGAGAACAAAATTAGTAAATTTTAAAGTGTAATGAATAAAGTAAACCAAACACCACAATACGTGAAAAAAAAAAGAAATTTAAAAAAAAAATTAAACTCACCTTAATCCAGGATTCCAAACTCTTGCCATATTTATTTTGGAATGCTTCTTTAATATCGCCCAAATCAATTTCCGAACGGCTGACAATGATACGAATTAAAGTCTTATCCTTAGTGCCCAAACCGTGCATAGAATCATACAAACGTTCGGCAAAATAGTCAACTTTTGACTTGCAGCACTTGACAATGGCTAAGAAGCCCTTCTCAACTGCGCCGCTGAATTCACGTTTGATGGCTTTTTCGATATCATGGCCAGCCAAGTTTTCGTATTCCAAAAAGATTTGGCGTAATTGTTGGTAGGAGCGGGTAACTAAAATGGAATTGAATACTGATTCTTCGGTGCCCCATTGACCTTCACCGGCATCGTATAAGGCTTGGGCATCGGCCACAGCAGCAGCTTCATCGACACCCTTTCAAATGGAACAATATTATAAAAACTTGTTTTAACTTATTGACTTCGTAGTATAACTTACTTGATTTTCATCACGGTTGCCTTGCACCAAAGATACACACAAACGCTTGAAATGTCCTGAGGTATCACCCTTCAAGTCTGATTCTAGGGATTTGCCAAAGCTTTGTTCATAGAACTGGGCAATGGTCTTAATACCAAAGTTCGATAAAGTGCAGAGAATTTCAATGATGGCTTCTTCATCGGTACCCAAACCGGCTACAGCATCGTGTAATTCTTGGGCATAGAATTGTGGCAGGGGAGTCATGAGGGCAATGATAACATCTTCGAATTTACCACCCAATTCGGATTTCAAATCGGAGATTAAATCTTTGCCGAAAGAGGTTTTGAAGGCTTCGGCGATTTCCAAGCGTTGAACAATGCCGCGACGGGCCAAAATTTCAATAATGGCCTTTTCATCGGTGCCAAAGCCCTTCATGGCTTTGCGCAAAATGCTGGCATCTTCGACGGGATCAAAGGGATCAGCAGGGTAGACAGTGGGAGTGCACTAGAGTGAAAAAATTTTATATATAATTTCTAAACATTCCACTAGAAAAACTATTTTTAAAATCTTATTAATTACTTTTATGATTCACTTAACCAAACCCTCAATAATAATTACAATTATGTACTTGAAATATTAATGATTTAATACTCTTTAACACCACTTTAAAATTAATACTAGGAAACACTAATAAAATTTTAAAAATTCCAACCGCACATCTACATGACAAACATGAATCATTTTCTACATTAGTAAAATATTTTTCGCTCTCTCTTTTTTTTTTTTCTTCTCTAAATGAACAATTTGTTTAAAAATATCGTTTATTAATAAAGTAAACCTTTTGTTTATTATTCATATAATATTATCTACTTTCATATTTGTTTATTTCAATTAATATGTATGTAGAAAAATTAATATGTGTCTCTGCCACAAAGATAAGATGGTTTTAGTGATAAAATTTTGTACAAAAATTTACTGCCTCTGGAAGGTAATTAAAATCTCATAAAGACAAAACCTGCTGTTGTACATACTTGAAAATTATTGGAATTTTCAAATTAATTATTAATGCGTAGATTGTAATCGTTTTAATTTTATTTTAATAAGGGCCACTTCAATTATATTTATATCTTAAAATTTATGGAAAAAGTTTGAACTTTTTGAAAAGGTTAATCGAAACTTGAACTGAACAAAACTAATCTAGAACTGAACAAAAACTAAAACTAGAACTGAAATAGAACTGAACTAGAACTGAACTAGAACTGAACTAGAACTGAACTAGAACTGAACTAGAACTGAACTAGAACTGAACTGAACTAGAACTGAACTAGAACTGAACTAGAACTGAACTAGAACTGAACTAGAACTGAACTAGAACTGAACTAGAACTGAACTAGAACTGAACTAGAACTGAACTAGAACTGAACTAGAACTGAACTAGAACTGAACTAGAAACTGAACTAGAACTGAACTAGAACTGAACTAGAACTGAACTAGAACTGAACTAGAACTGAACTAGAACTGAACTAGAACTGAACTAGAACTGAACTAGAACTGAACTAGAACTGAACTAGAACTGAACTAGAACTGAACTAGAACTGAACTAGAACTGAACTAGAACTGAACTAGAACTGAACTAGAACTGAACTAGAACTGAACTAGAACTGAACTAGAACTGAACTAGAACTGAACTAGAACTGAACTAGAACTGAACTAGAACTGAACTAGAACTGAACTAGAACTGAACTAGAACTGAACTAGAACTGAACTAGAACTGAACTAGAACTGAACTAGAACTGAACTAGAACTGAACTAGAACTGAACTGAACTAGAACTGAACTAGAACTGAACTAGAACTGAACTTGAACTAGAACTGAACTTGAACTAGAACTGAACTTGAACTAGAACTGAACTTGAATGAACTTGAACTAGAACTGAACTTAGAACTACTGAACTAGAACTGAACTAGAACTGAACTAGAACTGAACTAGAACTGAACTAGAACTGAACTAGAACTGAACTAGAACTGAACTAGAACTGAACTAGAACTGAACTAGAACTGAACTAGAACTGAACTAGAACTGAACTAGAACTGAACTAGAACTGAACTAGAACTGAACTAGAACTGAACTAGAACTGAACTAGAACTGAACTAGAACTGAACTAGAACTGAACTAGAACTGAACTAGAACTGAACTAGAACTGAACTAGAACTGAACTAGAACTGAACTAGAACTGAACTAGAACTGAACTAGAACTGAACTAGAACTGAACTAGAACTGAAACTAGAACTGAACTAGAACTGAACTAGAACTGAACTAGAACTGAACTAGACTGAACTAGAACTGAACTAGAACTGAACTAGAACTAGAACTGAACTAGAACTGAACTAGAACTGAACTAGAACTGAACTAGAACTGAACTAGAACTGAACTAGAACTGAACTAGAACTGAACTAGAACTGAACTAGAACTGAACTAGAACTGAACTAGAACTGAACTGAACTGAGAAAGCTGAACTAGAAGAACTGAACTAGAACTGAACTAGAACTGAACTAGAACTGAACTAGAACTGAACTAGAACTGAACTAGAACTGAACTAGAACTGAACTAGAACTGAACTAGAACTGAACTAGAACTGAACTAGAACTGAACTAGAACTGAACTAGAACTGAACTAGAACTGAACTAGAACTGAACTAGAACTGAACTAGAACTGAATTAGAACTGAACTAGAACTGTACTAGAACTGAGTTACTTTAACTTCTAGTTTAACTAGGCTTCTTACATTTGATATCTTATTAATAAATCTAATTAAATTTAATTTTTTATAGTTACCTTGAATGGATAGTATTCAGCTGAGCTCATTTTGTTTGGTTTTTTTTTGGAGGGAGTTGGTTTTTTGGTTTAAATTAAAAAAATTAACTGTAAAGATATAAGAAAAAAATATGAGATTTATTAAAGCATAACAAGTAAATTGAAGATACTTAAATATATTTTAGCAATTACCAAATACTTAAATAATAAAATCTTATATGTAAGAAGAAAAAAAATGTGAGAAACAATTTTTAAACAAAGTGCCCACATACAGAGTACAATTACATAAAAAAAAATCTTCCTCTCTTGAAGTGTTCTTTTATGTATTATTAAATTACATCATAGTTTTTTTTTTTTTTTATTAGGAGAAAAAAATTCAAGAAAAAAAGCCTTGAAATTTAACCCTCATTCAATTCAAACATTGCTTTAAGTAAAATAAATTTTTTACGTTAATTTTTAAGGTTTGTTCATGTTTCTGTTTCTATTAAAACAAAAAACAACTAATACTGTCATCAATATTGCCAACTACTAAGTTTTGTTTTAGATTTTAAGGCGCCTATATGGTTATAAACATATTATGTTTATTAAGTTGGTAGGGGGCCAAAAAGCCATTAAGATCTTTGATTGTAGACATGAATGTTTGTTTTTTTATATTTGATAGGTCATTTAGAGTAGGAGGAGAAGAAGAAAGTTGTTTACCATAACTTTACATAGAATTTAGGTTAAACCTATTACTGTCTTCTGTTGCCCAGTGGTCATAATACCCCAATAATCCCTGTTGTATTCCTTATTACAATTAAACGCTTTTACAATAACATAAAATTGTGCTGATACCATTAAGTAAAGATGATATAAGAGATTTTAATCCATTTAGGGTATCAATTCTGAAACCAAGAAGCTGCTGAAAGTTGTGCTCCCCTTAGTTGTGCTATTCTGCCATTTCTTTTGAATTTCTATAATCTTTGGTATTGATTTATAGATTTCTCTTATACGCCATATATTTTTCTAAAACAAATGCTAATCAAATTTGTTTGTCAGTGTTGGCTTCAGCTAAACAAACAAAATATATTTGCATGATGTCATCATGTAAGAAAATATGATGTTTTCTACTCTTCTATATAGTTTTATATATAAAAATAAAAACAAACAAAACTACACAATCTCTTAGTTAAAACAAAAAGTACCTTTCAAATTTATATATAAAATATATGTACATATAGACAAAATGATTTCTACCACAATCACTCCCACTAGTCGGTAGTAAAAAGTAGTAATAAAATGCCCTTTCAAAATTTTATGTATTTTCTAGAGATTTTTACTAGCACGCACAATTTTCTCCCCACATTTATACATACTATCAGCTCTCTAGCAACAGTCTGTCTGTCTATTGGCCCCTGTATGTAAATATTTAGATGATGATATTACCAAAAACTGTTGGTGGTTTAAAGTACTCATATGTCTGCATTATATGTCTGCACTTTTACTTATATATGTACATCCGCATGTCTGTATATATGTATAAACAAAACTTTCACTTTTATATTCAACACATTCACTTGAGTTTAATTTGAACATATTGTTAATACTCGATATTTTATCTATATAGAAATGAGTTTAGGTACCAAACGAGAGTATAACATATATAGAGCACCAAGCACCTTGAACTTGTGTATCTTTTGGTATATACATTCATTCGTGCATATACGTTTTGTATGTACTTTCTAAATTAAAATATAGAGAGCAGAGAAATGCAAAATTAAATGAATATTAAAAGAAGACAGACGAGTATCGTTTAGCTTTCGAAATATATATTTCAGTTGTTTGATGGCACAATTAAAACCTTACATGTGACAGGCTAAACAGAACTGGAACAGAACTAGAACAGAACTAGAATTGAACTAGAAAATAACTAGAACAGAACTAGAAGAGAGCCAGAAGTAAATTTTAACTGAAGTAGAAGAGAACCAGAAGAGATTTAGAACTAAACCAGAACTGAACTATAATTGAACTAGAACTGAACTAGAACTGAACTAGAACGGAACTAGAACGGATCTAGAACTGAAATAGAACTGAACTAGAACTGAACTAGAACTGAACTAGAACTGAACTAGAACTGAACTAGAACTGAACTAGAACTGAACTAGAACTGAACTAGAACTGAACTAGAACTGAACTAGAACTGAACTAGAACTGAACTAGAACTGAACTAGAACTGAACTAGAACTGAACTAGAACTGAACTAGAACTGAACTAGAACTGAACTAGAACTGAACTGAACAGAAACTGAACTAGAACTGAACTAGAACTGAACTAGAACTGAACTAGAACTGAACTAGAACTGAACTAGAACAGAACTAGAACTGAACTAGAACTGAACTAGAACTGAACTAGAACTGAACTAGAACTGAACTAGAACTGAACTAGAACTGAACTAGAACTGAACTAGAACTGAACTAGAACTGAACTAGAACTGAACTAGAACTGAACTAGAACTGAACTAGAACTGAACTAGAACTGAACTAGAACTGAACTAGAACTGAACTAGAACTGAACTAGAACTCGAACTGAACTAGAACTGAACTAGAACTGAACTAGAACTGAACTAGAACTGAACTAGAACTGAACTAGAACTGAACTAGAACTGAACTAGAACTGAACTAGAACTGAACTAGAACTGAACTAGAACTGAACTAGAACTGAACTAGAACTGAACTAGAACTGAACTAGAACTGAACTAGAACTGAACTAGGACTGAACTAGAACTGAACTAGAACTGAACTAGAACTGAACTAGAACTGAACTAGAACTGAACTAGAACTGAACTAGAACTGAACTAGAGCTGAACTGGAGCTGAATTTAAACAGTTTGTATAAGATTAGTTCGTTATGAATACATTTAATTTTTAAAATTTTTATCATCATAAGATTACTTCTTTAAATTTGGGTTTTCTTTACCATTTATAAAAGCCACAACTCCATGAATATCATAAATTGTTCTTTATAAAATTGCGTGTTTTTGAAATAAAAATATATAGATATTTTTATACTAAAATAACTACAAACCAGTTTCACTCGAAATAAATAAAATTCACATAAAATAAAAAAAAACCACACAATATTTTAAAAATAATTGTTTTGTATAATCAGTCAAATATCATTTGTAGGGAGAAAATTACACACTCATTTCATTAGATAAATAAAAAAATTGTAGAAAATAAATTCATGTTTAATTAAAAAAAATAAACAAACAAACAAAAAAATTGAACACGAAGTGATAAGGTAATTTGAAAACAAAGTAAAAAATGGAATAGCTACAGATATACAAACATATATTATAAGGATGTACAATAAATATTTTTGCAATTTTTCATTATTTAATAGTTTTCTTAATAATTCAAAACAATCTGCTAAAATTTGTAAATTTTCAATAGACTGTAACGTAAAATCACTGCCTGTTATGTTAATTATTTATGACATAAATTAGTTGGTGTTTTTTCTTCACCCCAAAATTTCCAGTATATTCTAAAGTATGTATTCACATAAAACTCGTGATTATTATTTATATTAAAAATAAGTAAAAATTTTATCTAAGACAAAATAAACATACAAAACAGACAAGTTAAATATCTTTTTTTTTAAACCAAAATTAATGCCTAACATGAAATTCATACTAAAACCTGTATGAGTCATCATTTATTCATATGTTTTGTTTATTTAACATTCGAAAAAAAAAAACAAACGAAAATGATTAACAGATAGATACAAAGAAATATTTCTGTATTTTAAATTATAAACATTTACTAATTGCAGTTAAACAAATTAATAAACAATTCTATTCAGAGTTATTTTATGTAATTTTCTCCTCATGTAAATATGTATAAAATCTAATTATTTAGATCAAAGTATAAACAATTTAATTGTTTCAAAACAATCTAATTATTTAGATCAAAGTATAAACATTTTATTTGTTTCAATAAGAGTATTTTCCACTTTACAACGTGCATTTCTTTAATAAAAGTTCAAATATAATATTTGAATACGTGAACTAGCATTGAGCTAGAACTGAACTAGAACTGAACTAGAACTGAACTAGAACTGAACTAGAACTGAACTAGAACTGAACTAGAACTGAACTATAACTGAACTAGAACTGAACTAGAACTGAACTAGAACTGAACTAGAACTGAACTAGAACTGAACTAGAACTGAACTAGAACTGAACCAGACTGAACTAGAACTGAACTAGAACTGAACTAGAACTGAACTAGAACTGAACTAGAACTGAACTAGAACTGAACTAGAACTGAACTAGAACTGAACTAGAACTGAACTAGAACTGAACTAGAACTGAACTAGAACTGAACTAGAACTGAACTAGAACTGAACTAGAACTGAACTAGAAGAACTAGAAAAAACTAGAACGAACTGAACAAAACTAGAACTAGAACTGAACTAAACTGAACTAGAACTGAACTAGAAACTGAACTAGAACTGAAACTAGAACTGAACTAGAACTGAACTAGAACTGAACTAGAACTGAACTAGAACTGAACTAGAAACTGAACTAGAACTGAACTAGAACTGAACTAGAACTGAACTAGAACTGAACTAGAACTGAACTAGAACTGAACTAGAACTGAACTAGAACTGAACTAGAACTGAACTAGAACTGAACTAGAACTGAACTAGAACTGAACTAGAACTGAACTAGAACTGAACTAGAACTGAACTAGAACTGAACTAGAACTGAACTAGAACTGAAACTAGAACTGAACTAGAACTGAACTAGAACTGAACTAGAACTGAACTAGAACTGAACTAGAACTGAACTAGAACTGAACTAGAACTGAACTAGAACTGAACTAGAACTGAACTAGAACTGAACTAGAACTGAACTAGAACTGAACTAGAACTGAACTAGAAACTGAAACTAGAACTGAACTAGCACTGAACTAGAACTGAACTAGAACTGAACTAGAACTGAACTAGAACTGAACTAGAACTGAACTAGAACTGAACTAGAACTGAACTAGAACTAGAACTGAACTAGAACTGAACTAGAACTGAACTAGAACTGAACTAGAACTGAACTACAACTGAACTAGAACTGAACAAGAAATGATCCAGAACTGAACTGGATTAAAAGTCAACCATAGTTCAGTTCTATACTGAACTATAATAAAGAAATTAAATTTTTAAAATTCGTATTAACAAATTGAAATTTGAAAATTTTGAATTTAAACATAAAAAGATTCAAATTCATAATTGAAATAAATAAATCCAAAAATTTAAAATTGATTTTATTTGTAAAAATCAATAAAATTCCCTTAGAATAGAAAAGAAAAAATATGATTCATTTCGAATCTCTACCACTCTTCTGTAAATAAAGAATTCAAATCGAGAATTCGAATAGAAAAATATAAAAATATTTACAAAACTAATAAAAATACTCTTTAGAGATTCTCAAAATTTAAATAATTTTTTTAACTCTACAAAAGTTTGCACTTGATGGGCGTTGTAGTTTAAAGAATGCAGTCGGTAATTTTTCTTGAATTAGGTCACTAGCAAGTACACTACAACAAACATTAAAAAAGCTTTTTTAAAGCTAAGATTTCAATAATAAAATAAAACTTTCTAAAGCAAAAACACTAAACGTTAAAGTATTTGAATTTCTAAAGAATTTTTTTTTATAATTTTTTTTTTTTATAATTTTTATGGGAATTTAGATAAAAACAAGTTGGTGGAATAGGTATACAAATTTAGTGAGACTTTGTTTGTGTGTGGGTAAAAAACAAGCCACGAATGTTTTTTTGTTTTTGGCTGCTGTTAGGCTGAGTGTATTTTGAATTTATGTACTGGGAGTACATGAAAAATGATGATGTCATCTAAATAAAATTGAATAAAAGAAATTTCCATAAAATTGTTTAAGAAAAAAAGAAAATTTAAATCTTTTAACTAAAAGATTTTTAAAAATTGTTAAGAATTTTTTCTTAAATTTTCTATTTAATTAAACTTTTATTTATAAAAAGTGTCGC